ACATTGTGGAAGGGGGCGGGAGTCCCTATACTCTCGCTGGTCACTTTTGACCCGTACTGTTTACGACCACATAGTGGAGCACGAGGCATCTGTATCCCCGGAGACGGAAGATGGCTACTGCTCGGGGTAATCCAGCCCCTGACCCCAACAGCACACCTGTGGTTGTAGGAGGACTTGCAATTTAACAGGGGAATTGCGAGCGCGGCCGTAAGCTGCCCTGAGTGGTATGAGGAAAAGGGCAAGCTTGCCGCAATCGAGCTGACAATTCAGATTCGTCACATCAACTTCCTGACGCACAGTTTGCGTCAGATAAACCTTGGAGGATATCCTCTGGAAGAGAGAGAGAGAGAGGCTGTATCGAGGAGTTATATTCACGTTTTCCCGTGATATAGCACAGCTGCTTGACCTCAAGTACATCGGAGTCAAGCACGGCCCGGTCATCGCCATCGCCAGTGAGAGACAGTGACGACATATCGTTCGACCATTCTTCAAGAAGCCGCACGACTTTGAGGTAGCCGCATCTTACAGACAGAACCGAGAGAATATTAACAAGAACAGAGACAGGGACAGGGACAAGGAGAACAAGGACAAAGGCAGAAAAGACAAAAAGGGCAAGGCCGCTAAGGAAGACAAGGACGAGTAAAGCTGGCCTAAGCACTTTATTTACGGGTACGGGAGAAGCTACAAGAATGGCCACACTACCGGGCCCCAAGGATCGTGACAGAGGCCATCCGATACGGCGTGAGGCCAGAATGGAACAAACTGGGCAGGCCAGCGCGGAGCGACAAGGGCCGATGGATATCGACAGACGATGGAACACCGAAGATGGAGAGGACCGAGCTGACCAGGTGGTTCGAATCGGGGGTGATCCGACAGTTCGAGGAATGGGAGATGCACTTGACGCATTCGGCTTTCATGATCCCCAAATCGGACGGAATTCGGGCCCGCCTGATCCTCAATCCGGTAATAATCAACGACCACGCCAAGAAGGAGAAGTTACGAATAGAAGGATTGGACAAGTTGACCCAAATAGCTCGACGAGGGGACGTGATACTCTCGGCGGACACACAGGTCGGGTTTTACGCACTAGCAGTGGCCGAGCCCAAACTGTAGCAGTTTCGGGACAGGACAGGACAGCTATAGTGCTTTATGGCCCTTCCGATGGGGGCAACGTTCAGTCCACTTTGGTTCAACCGCCTCATGGACGTGTTCGAAGAGTGGTTCGGTCGCAGGGGATCCGAATCATTCTGTACGTGGACGATCTGTTACTACTAGGTCGTCCACACGTGATCAGGCGTCACAAGACGTTCATCGACGCCCTGATCAACAAACTGGGATTGGTGTTCGCCCCCGGCAAAGGCAACTGGGATGACGATCCGACCAGCAGATTGGATTATCTAGGCGTGATTATCGATCTGGAAGCCAATCAACTTTTGGTTACTCGGAAATTTCAAGCGAAACTTCTGGATCTGAGCCGGAAGATTACAGCTACGTGCCGAAGAAACGTCAGACGAGTGCCTATTCGTCAGTGACAGTCATACCTGGGCCACCTCCAATGGGCCGCCTTCGTACGCCTGGTGAACCATTGCAACTCGACGAAGAAGGAGATACGAATATCAGGAGCGGTCATGAAGAAGATCGGCAAGATGAACGTGATGATCAAACAATTCGAGGCGAGGACTATTTGGTTGCCGGC